GGTCTTTTCCTCTTCTGCATAATAAAACATGATGACGTCACTGCTGCCACCTGCTGTCCTGGAGGAGCATTACAAGGAGGGAAAATTATTTTATTTGTATTTGTGGATTTAAAATGAACTCTAGAAGCTAACACCAGGCAAATTCATGATTATCTTTATTTTAACTAGATAATATAGAGAATAATTGTATCATATAAAAACACAGAAGTAAAGCCAAGTGGTTCCAGGTCTTTTTTTTATGTCTGGAGCTTTAAAGTGCCTGTCACATGCATATCCCTCAAAAACATCTTTTTATTTAAGAAACTTGGCATATTACAGATATTTTATCCATTTCGTCACATATTGCATGTTTTATTTTGAAAAAAGAGCGAAACAGGAAGTGATACCAAAGTGGAACTCAACTCTGACTCTTCTTTATCTCTCTGCTAGTGATTCAAAATAATATGAAGAAACATCAGATTATTCTGTAGTCTGCTGTTAGCCTCTGTTTACACATTTTGACATCACTTCCTGTTTCTTCACATGCAGATAGCTCATGTTCATGTGGGCTACTGATTTTGTTTTTGCAAAATGTTGTCAATGTCACTTTTCTGAAAACACATTATTATTTATTTGAACCCACACTGTAGGTCAGAGGTGCCCAAAGTGGGGTCCGCGGGCCAAGATTGGCCCGCCAAGCCATTTGATTTGGCCCACCAGTAGTTTTTAATTGTCCGTCATTCTCTGTAGAAACTCTGTATTTCCATGTACAGTAATTACATCCAACGGCCCAATGACTAAATAAGGGACTGTAGCACAGAGAGTTGACTTTATCACTGAATTATATTAAGATTATGAATAAAATACAAGAAACCAAAGAAGATATTTACATTAGATTTAAGCACACGTGTAGATTTGAAAACTTTATAAGACTCATATTTTATCAATGTATGAAATGTCCCATGAGCCTTTGCTGCCTGAGCAAGTGTACAGGTTAAAAACACAAACAAACAAAACATGGGCCACTGCACTGGCTCTTGGTTTAATCATAAAAAGTAAAACTTAAAAGAAGTATTAGCATTTCCTCTATTATATTATTGCATTTGGCCCGCAGCCTTTGGGCAGATTTTCATTTTGGCCCTCTGAGGGAATAAGTTTGGGCACCCCTGCTGTAAGTCTGTCTTTTTTTCTGTTTTTTGAGTGCAGGTCCTACCAGGAGWGGGGTTTGAACCCACGAGGACATGTGTCCATTCATTGGATCTTAAGTCCAACGCCTTAAYCACTCGGCCATCCTGGTTCCTCATGAGGCAGCTTGTTTCAGCACACCTGCTTCCATCAATTAATCGTCTTCCTCCTCAACATTTCTCGACCTAATAAATGTTGACTTCTGTCCTTCTTCTCCAGCATCACGTCCAYCCAAACAAAGCTTTTACTCCGTTTGGTTTCCTGACTGGAAACTTTCGGACTCAACGGTCCACCTTGGGCAACAAAACTAATAATTGTCAGACACGTCACCTCGAAGACGTTCCTCGGCTTTTCAACCTGGATTTTATTTTCCACCTGTCGACCCGTGTTGGCGCAGGTCAGACGCTGCAGGTTTCCACATCCAGATCACGTTTGTCCTTCCTGCCCGTTCGTTGTCGTTATCTTTTAACTGGAGATTTCACCCAATAAATCCCAAAGAGGACGTAAGAACCACAGCAGTGTTTTTTTGTGGCCGTGACCCTGGTGTTTGTTGTTCTCGTTTCATCTGAGACGTTAAAAAAAGAAACGGATGAGTTTAAAAAGATAATGAGCTGAAGAAATCTGCTGTGGCGTTAGCAAATCTCTGCCTCCGCAACAGAAAGAAAGGCTTCAGGCTAAAACATGTTGGAAACCTTTTTGTTTTCTTCTTATTTGCAGTGAACACAAAGCCAAGGACGGCGGGAACGTCAGCAGTTCTGGTGCAGAGGAAACCCTGGAGAAGAGTTCAAGCTTTGGGGCCAAGTTGATTTCAAAAGTTCCAGCGTGTGAAATAAAAACAAACATTTCATATCACGTCCCACAACCTTTAATCTGCTGCTTTAACAACTTCACTCTTTTTTTTTTTTTTTACAGCAGGTCAGATATCGACGTTGGCCGAAGCTCAGATCCGTCGAGGAAAAACCTTTTCCTCATGGACCAGTTTGTGTGTTTAGACCTGAAAAAACTTTACTCCAGTCGGTTTCTCAGCGTCTCCTCGGGTTTAAAAAATAAAAATAAAAATCAGAGTGAACTGGAGGGAAACATCGAGGGWATCTGACATCTGATGCAGAAAGAGGACAGGAAGATGGACGAAGACGCCGGGGAGCAGAACGAAGAACTCTGACAGCTTCCTGCTCCTCGCCGAGGGTTTATTTCTTCTTCTATGGTTTTTGAGCAGAAACAGTTTTATTCTGTTTTGTGGAAGAGGACACTGAAGGTTTCATATCAAAGACTCCAGTTCATCATGGCCCACACGGTTCTGTCAAAAGCAGAACCAGGATGGCTCCTTGTGGGCTCAACTATCTTGGGGTTTGGATTGCCACCATCTCCCTTCTTTAAAACAACTAAACCATTTAAAACTTATCTAAACACTGGTTACCAATCCATTAAAAAAAAGTTGTATTAGTTTTTAAATCAGTCTCTTCCTCTCCAAACCTTTTGTTGTATAAAAACAAACACCCAACAATAACGACGAAAAGAATAACAGCAAAGATAAACTGATAAAAAATCATAAAATCGACATCCTACATGCAGCAAAAGTGGGTTTTAAGTGAAGATTTAAAGACAGCTAAAGTGGAGGCCTGCCTAACGTGCAACGTTAGGATGTCCACAACCTAGGACCTGTCCCTCCTGAGCTTACACCTGAGTACATGCAACAGAGTGGAAAGGATGGAAAAGCTCAGGGGCAGGACTGTTTAACGATTTAAAAACAATTTTAAAATGTTTTTGTAACCAGTGAAAGAGTCTTAAAGTACCTGTGACACACATATCCTTCAAAAACAAAAACTCATAGAAAACATCTTTAAGAAACTTGGCATAATACACATAATTTTACTCATTTTGTCACATAACTCAACTGTTTTCTTTTGGATTTGGCTCAGCCAAAGTGAAACAGGAAGTGACATCAAAGGGGAACTCATTAATAAAATAAACTCTCTGGTCTTTGTTTATTAAAACAATCATCTGTGTTTGATAGTGGCTCAAAACAATCTAAAGAAACATCAGATTCTTCTCTACAGTCCGTTAATTATTGTAGCAACGCTCTGTTTACATGCAGACGTTCCCCTTTGACATCACTTCCTGTTTCTTCACATGCAAATATCTCAACAACTGTTCATCTCAGTGACTTGAAATTTGTTTTGCAATATGTTATCAATGTTATCTTTCCAAAAATGCATTCATGTTTATTACAAAAACTTAATGCCACAGGCCCTTTAAAACTGGTGTAATGTGATAAAATCCCTTTGTGCCAGTTTGTCCTCTCAAACCCAAACGTTCGAGGCAAATGTTCGCCTGTCCTGAGCCTGGTTCTGGTTCTGCTGGAGCAGTTTTTCCTCTCTGCTGCTGCTGGTGTGCTGCTCAGGACGGGAGACTGTGACGAAGCAAAGATTCTGCGCAGTCTGTTGTCTTCTTTAGATTTATTGTTTATTTATTTATTTAGTGTACAGTGCCCTATTGTGACTTGGCGATATATAAATTAACTGAATTGAATTTAATTGTGTGCAGCCGTCACTAACTCAGGGATCAAAGTTGATGGTTACTCTAAACTTATATAAGAAACTAAATTGTCAGACTGTGGTATTTAAGAGAATGATAAAGGTTAATCTGTTGGAGAAATATAAAATGGTATAATGTTAGATTTGTTGGTCAACAAGAAGCTAAACTTTTGATTTTATTGATTTTCTTTTAGTTTTGTTTGTTTGTTCTTTGTTTTTTTCCTCTGTATGTTTTGTATTTGAAGATTATTTTTGATTGAATTTGTTTAGTGAGAAAAAGGGGCAGACATAAGGCCTTTTTCTTCTTCTGCTACCTTTCATTGAATTTGTGATTGCATTTTGTTGTATATAAAATTTATTGTTGTTTTCTTGTTAAATGAATAAACTATAAACTACAAAACGTGCCTGTGGACAAACAAATACAGGAACATACTGGTTCTAATGGGGTTCAAATCCGTGAGGGAGTCCAGCGCCTTAACCACTCATCCATCCTGCTTCAGTAGAAAACATKTCCTCTAGTTAAACACTGGTGCAGCAGAATCTCCAGTGGAACCAGTCAAACCCAGGTAGTCAAAAAGAAAAAAAAAACTACCATCTGATTACCATGTACTCAGTTTTTCTGTGTTTAAATACTCTGAACCTGCTCCCTCCTGTGTCRAAGACCTTGTCTTCATTTTTCTAACCAAACTCTTGAGTTTGTCCTGTCAGTTTGTCCTGTGACGGACAGAAGACAGAAGACTGGAGACTCAGAACCAGCTCCACTGAGACCCCGAACAGAACCAAACAGGTCCAGAGAGGGAACGCTGTCACTTCAGGAAGGTTCCAGGGTTCCTACAGCTTAAGACAAGCTAAATTTAAGACTTTTTAAGGATCTGCAAGTTCAGAGTTCATCTCAGTCTTCAAACACTAATTCAATAAGAAGTCAAAAGAAACAAAACTTTTAAACAAAGATCCTGCTGATGCACGATAAGGATCAAGTCTCTTGCATTTCTGCTGTCAGTTACAATGATATGGTTTCTTTCAGACTGGACATTTGTTGCACCTGCAACTACAACCATTCTACCAGGAGTGGGGTTTGAACCCACGAGGACATGTGTCCATTGGATCTTAAGTCCAACACCTTCACCACTCGGCCATCCTGGCCCTGCTGGTGCACGCTTTGGGTCCAGAAAACTGTTTTCTCCACAAAGTTTCAGGATCTGGTTTACCTGATTTTATAACAGACCAGAGAAAAGTTTGAAGTTTTAATTCAAGGTCTATTGGAGTCTGAGGCACCAGAACAGTTCTGGTCCATCACACACCGTAAACCTGCAGAGGTGGGTTTTTACAAGCCCCTAAAGCCCCCCTCCCTCCAGGTTTATCCACACTGCCTGTCAGCAGTGAGAGGAAAGACAATCAGTCTGCAGCTCAGTGGTTTTCAGATGAGAGGGTTTCATTACTGCGGTTCCTGGGGAGTCTTATCGCCCCGTTTGGGTTCCCAGGTTC